TGCTTTTTCCTAACAAAATCGAGACGTAAGGACAACATTCTCTAGGTTTAACCATTGGAGGTCATCCAAGTTTCCTAGAGTAATTTCCCAATACTCATTACTCGTGAAAAATTCCACGAGTATGCGGAGTAGAATCTTTTCCGTCCGTCTTGCGAGTCCCCATTTATTATAATTTTTCATTTCATTTTTTTTCTTTTTTTATTATTATTATTATTATTATTATTTTTTTCAAGTACCCAAAATGCAACTCAAATAAGTTATACCTTTTCTCCAACACAAAACAGAAGCTCCGTCATCAAAATAACTAAACTGTCAAGTCCCAAGAAATTCAATCAATACGGTTGACAAGAAATAGGTTCAGGCTCAACGGGCTACTAATGAATATTTCACATCAAGGGTCAAAGAGAAAGGCCAAACGAGCAATGTCAAAGAAATGCCTCAATCATTTTCACAATTCACTACTTCAATCACTCATTTCGAAACAGACTAAAAGCAAGTTCTGATCAACAAGAATTCGACCAATATCTCTCAAGAAACAAAATAAGGCTCAAACCTCTCATAGGGTAAATAAATGTCCAACAAAACGCAACATCAAGTTCATCAAGGCATACTAGTCATGATCATCATCACATCTCCTCAACGTCATCAACAATCCTCAACAAATCTCAAAATCACTATAATCCATACTCGGGAAACACACAAACGGACTCAAGAAAAGACACTCAAACGAAAATAAAAAAAAAAAATGAAAACAAACTACAAGACCTAGACCTGATCAACCATATAAGCACATAATCATGCAAAAAACTCCCCCACACTTAAAACCGAACAATGTCCCCATTGTCGATCATCAGTGCAAGGAAAGTTACCCATATAATCAACCAACATGAAAGAAGAATAAAGACACTAAACCAAAAACGAAAAATAAAGAGAAAGGAAAAGATACAAACGTACAGGGTACAGTGACTAGACCAGTCACTGTGAATCCGGTGGTGCAGGTGGAGGGTGGAGGAAGTCAGGCCCCGAACAACGGCGGGCCTCTGTCAGCTCAAATCTCTCGCCCCATAGG